TATAACTAGTAAATAATTTATTCATTTAAGAAGCTTCAATGACATCCTTTTCTTATTTTAGAGTTTGCTGAAAACACTGAACACTTGAAAACCAAAATGTCAGAACTGAGACTCTACTGTGACCTGCTTGTTCAGCAAGTAGACAAAACAAAAGAAGTGACCACAGCCGGTTCGTGTAGTCCTGAGGTAAAACAGCCCATATCTGCACACAGCTGGCATTCTCCCATAATCCTTGACTGTCTTGGAATTCATAATTTTACAGAGAAAAAGTAGCAAAATTCAACATAGAGACGTAATGTGTATGTTTCCACACAAAGAAGTATTTAGTCTTCCTTTCTTCCTACACCTCCCCTGCCCTTCCAGGAATTTGGGGTTAATTAAGTGATAATATGTGGAACTCTTAACTTTAGTGCTGACTTATTGAAATATCATGTCTCCCCCAGTTTGTAGCGCTTTCTTTAGTACAGCCGTAGCTCTTAGCTGTCTTGCAGAGACCGTTCTATTGGCCTAGCTACTGAAATGTCAGTGAAGCAACAGTGAATAATGTGTCTGTCACCTTTGATGAGGAGGCTAGCAGGATTTATTTCACCATTGTAACTGTTCTGCTTTGGAATAGAGTACTACTTTCAAAGATGGAGACCCACCTCTTTTTTCTATCCACCATCAGCCACAGTTGCTATTTGTGCGTTTGTTAATAAAGTTCTCATTCGCTTATCCTACAAATGTATATGCAAGGATCTAGCTGGTGTTAAGGAATGTGTTGAATAGATCCTATTAACCAGAGAGGGCCTCTGCTCTGCTCTCAAAGAATTATAATCTGACAAACAGTGCGTATAAAACAAAGAACTGCAGATGATCCCGGTTTTGTAGTCACTTTTCCTAAGTAGAAGTACACAATGCTACTTACTAAGCAAGGTGATTGAACTCACTTCCTTTAGGCTCCTACTCACTCAGCAGCTGCCTGTCGTATTCAAGACACTGCTGGAGGGTGTTGGAGGTCAGATACACATTAATCAGGGTGAACTTACAGTCTGGAGCAGTGTTTTCTAAACCAGTGTGGTTTTGCTCCTGCCAGGGGACATTTGGCATTGTTTGGATACATTTTTGGTTGTCATGATTGAAGGAGTATTATTGATAGTAAGTAAAGGACACGGGTGCTGTTAAACACCCTACAATGTACAAGAGAATCTTCCTCCCCCCTACCCTCTCACCCTCCAAAATTAGCTAGCCCAAATGTCTGTGCTGCTGAAGTTGAGAAACCCTGGTCTAGAAGGAAGGGGAAAAGTGAGCACAGCAGTTTTTAATTCATATGAAGAAAGTGCCAGTGGTAAGTGCCTTGGAACTTGTTAATGAAAGTGTGGTTCATGGCAAGCAACATCACCTGGTCACTTGTTAGGAATGCAGAATTGAGAAAAACATTTGGGATGGGACTTAGTTTCCTGAGCAATTATCAGTATCAACGTTCAGAGGGAAAAAAACCCTGACCAAGCAAAGTAACTCGAAGGATAAGCATTGATTAAGTGTTCACATATGACACCAGCACCCAGTTGCTGGAACCGCTTGGACTCATCTGTGTTAAAAGCCCACACGTCCATTCTGAAAGCCTTGTTTTCACTCACTCGGAGCCGTTCCTCCACTGTTCCATTGCCTGTGGTTCTGTTTCGTGTGTGTCGTCCCCTGTGGACTGCAGCTCTGGGGGATTGGTGCCCAGCCGCTGGCACAACACAGGTGCCTAATATTGTTCAGTTGAAAGAGATTGTTGAGTTCCTCTGGAAGGGTGGATACCAGGGCGAGGCTTGTGTAAGGCTGATACATGTGTTATACTCGCTTAATCTTTCTCTCTTTTTAAATCACTGCAGTACATGTTTATCCGGCAAAATGGGGTGGGTACATTGTTTTATTATTTTGTAGATTTAAAAACTTCTAAGAACACTCCACAGTTGGGCCTTTTCTTTTTTGACAAGGTAAAGTATCTCCCACTCTGCTTGGTTCGCAGGAGGGAATTGATGTGGGCACTCTGCTGAGATCCACCTGCGACACTTTTCTGAAGACCCTGGAAGAATGCATGCAGATCGCAAATGCAGCCTTCACCTCCGATCTGCTCTTTCGCACACCTCCGGGGTCACCTCAGCTGGCCATGCTGAAGTCCAGCAAGGTAATGTTCAGCTCATCCTGGCTGCAACACAACATAATTAAAAGTTGAAAAGTCAGGAAAGTTGGTATGCAGAGCCATGGGCTCCATCACCCTTTGGTGATTTAGAGACCATCTTTAGTGGACTTGGCTTTCTGTCCACTTTTTTATCTGGCCGCAGCCACTCGAGACAGAAACTTGAGTTACTTATCCCCCAAGTGCACTCCGTTAATTTCAGGCAGTTTTGCTACCTGAGCAGTTTTACTAAAAGTCTCCAACAGCGTATCTCCTTTCTAACCTCCAGGCTCCTTTTGAGTCTTGTCTAGACTCGCAGTAGCTCTGTAAGTCGTGGTCTGCAGTCTGGCTCTGTCTGTCAGCAGACAGCATTTCTGTAAATATAAGCTCAATTGGAGGACTTTACAACCTGTCAGTGGCTTCCACTTGCCTATAGGGTAAAGCCACAATTTCTGGGTTCCTCCTGCCATGATGGGCAGCCTCTTCTCCTGTCCTAGGTAAGGACAGGCTTGAATTGACTAGTAGTATTAATTGACTAGTATTATTAATTGACTAGTAGTATTAATTGCTTCTAGTTGTCTCACACCTTTGTGTCATTTCCTAGTTCCAAGGCCTTGCTGACCTGTCTTTCTTCCTCAGCCCTTATTCACCCCTGAATCTTTAGGGTGGGCTGGAAGTGTCTCCTCTTAGGTGTCCCCCTGTTTTAGCCTTACTCTGTGTTATAATTATCCTAAGAGCAGGAACCCGTATTATTTACGATTCCAGTGTTTGATATAATGCTAGGTCATGATTTGTGATTAATTAATGTTTAATAAACATTAGGCAGCATCGTGTGGCACTGTGGGATAATGGACTGGACCTGAAGGTCACTTTGAACTACAAAGTCCAGCCGCTCCTCAGAAACCCTGTAAGGAGTAGCTATGAATCGGAACCAAATTGAAGGTGCTAACAACAATGAACATAACTGAACTCACAAAGAAAACCAATTACTAAGGGGTTTGGCGGTGATAATTAGGTCTTTCAAAAGACGGCATTCCTGAACACAAGGAACAGAATTTTACTTGTAAAATTCCGTGTCACTGAATTTAACTTGTGAAAATTGGCACCTATTTATTTTGTGTCTGTTGTGGCACAGTGATAATAAAAGACCAATGTCCTTTTCCTTAGATATGTGATTACCCTTATTAAATACAAAAGAGACCTAGTGGGGATTAATGACTCCATTCTTTTGGGAGGACCCACAACTAAAACTGTCCTGTTAATGAAGTTGTGTATGTCATATTCATATTGACCACTTGCCATCTATGATAGAATTCTAAATATGTGCTGTTAGAAGTTTAATGTGTAAACTTTCATTTCTTTGCTTCTTTTAAAGATGAAACATCCTATTGTACCCATTCATAATTCATTGGAAAGGTACAGTACCCTTTTTTTGTTTATTGTTATTTCTAAAAATAAATCCATAAGGATAATATTATACCTTACGTTAAAGAAATCAGGAATTCTTGACCATGTAGTGGTTTGTCTCATGACAGTGGAACATCCAGGAGGAAACAGTATCTGCCTTTCCTCTTCTGGATGAGCCTGGAGCAGGGATGACCCTTCACTCAGCACGCAGCAGTGGAGAGGGGATTTGCGTTTCCCCTGGAGTGCAGAGCTCATCACACCTAGTGACTTAAGAACCCTGGTGGCACAGTGGCAAAGCGCTAGCTAGTATCTAACTGAAAGGCCAGTGCTTCAAATCCAACTTTCACTCTGAGGGAGAAAGAGGTGGTAGGGAGAAAGATTTGCTCTCATAAAGATTTACAAACCCTATGGGGTCAGTTCTACTCTGTCTTGTAGGGTGACTATGAATCAGAATCAACTTAAAGGCAACAAGTTTGGTGTTTGGAGTATACTGAAGGTGGGAACGTGTCTTGTGGAACACTTAAACATTGATAAAAGCATGCATTTATCCATTCAAGACAGTGAAAAAAGGGGTTTACAAAATGAATATTAAGAATCTAGAAGTCTAAACTATTTCTGTTCTTCTAGCTATACCTTTGATTAAAAATGAAATGTGCATTTATATAATTGTAGTCATGTTTTTTTGAGTTCTTTATTCAGTTTTTTCATACAGACATCCCCATGACTGACAAAAATATGGTTGTCATCTCAAATATTCTTTGCTATTTCATCTCCTTTATACACTATTGTTTACTTAGTTAATTCTGTGTTGCAAGGGTTGTTCCCTGTTTATAGTTTTCTCAATAGTTCTTCTAGGAACAGCTTTATACTTTTTTTTGACATATTCCATGGATAAAGTCCTAAGTTGAATTGCTGGGTTACATTACACTATGGTATTTTCTTAGAAAATAAATGTTTTCCTTGGAATTACAGTGTAGCTTGGTGCCTTATTTTTATTGAACAATATTTTTTACTTTAATTTTCTTGGGTATAATCACTTATAACAAGGTATTATGAGTTTCCCTTGGACACAGAATCAGCTGCCCCTTTTGCCTGTTGAATAACCTTTTCAGTTCTTCTAGACAGGTTTATTTGTTGTTGTTGTTGTTTTTTTTGTTGTTGTTGTTTTTTAATCAAGCACTTTTCAAGGAGTACTCTCTCCTAACCACAGCATGTGGATTCTAGTCAGTAACTGCTAGATAAACTCATGGAAGTAGTCCATGAGTGTTTTTGAGAGTTGAGACAGAAAGACGCCTCCCAAGGAGAGGTTGAGGAAGTGAGAGAATTGTAAAATGTGGCACCTGGAGAAAGTTGATTGAGAACCCAAGAGCTGTCAGTTACTAGTGAGGAGCAGGAAGATTAGGCCTACTAAAGGCTACTGACAGTGCCATTTATGGCTGTTTGATTTCTAAACTGCAACCTTGAGACAGACCCACCTCTGTCATTGGCAAACACCCGTCTTGGGAATTAGGAGAGTGAGAAGTCTTTCACATGATTTTAAAGAAAGGAAGTTGGAGATTGCAAACTGAAACCTTTCCCCTCCCCAACCCTCAGAATATGACCAAACTCTGGCAATCTATTTATGAGCAAATAATTCAAGTTTTTGGCTACTTTCCTTTTTAAAAATTTTCAGGCAAATGGAGATGAACAGTTGTGAAAATGGATCTTTAAATATGGAAATAAATGATAGTGAAGAAATCCTAATGAAAACCAAGAGCCCCTTATATTTGAAATCTGCAGAGAGAGACTGCAGCATACCAAGTGGAGAAAATAGAAATGATAATATAACAGGTAAAAATAAAAGTCTTATTGGCTATCTGGAGCAAGTCTTTGAATAGTGGGATCTTGTGGGTTTGAGTCAATATCTATGGTGTGATCCAACATTTGATAGGAACCGACCTCAAATGTTAGCTTGGTCATTTGACTAAACAGTCTTCTGCCATTCTATCTGATCTGATGTTTCGATGGTACAGTGAGGAGGAAGTACCCCAGGCCGTGAACAGTAGCTGCATTTTTTAGGTGATGGGCACTTCTCTGGCCTGCCACCCTGAATCTCAAAGTCCCTTAAGTTCAGAGTATGATGTTCGCCATGGTGGTGGCGGTGGAGGTGATGTGCATGGAGTTGGTTCTAATTCATAGCGACCCTCTATAGGGTTTCCGAGGCTGTGAATCTTTAGAGCAATTCAATTCCTCATCCTCCTGGTTTCTGATGGGACCTTGGCCTCAGAATTCACCAGCCATCTTCAGGTATTTTCCACCTTCTCTGTGGTCATCAAACGAAAGTCCCACATTTCATGGACCAGGCGTGCAGTTTGTAAAAGCTGCTCTTTTAAATGTACTAATTCCACTGGCACTCAGGTCTACTTCTACTCAGTCCAAGAGCTTAGGATCATGTGGTAAGTGCTTAATAAATATTTTTACAATTCGAAATTTTAAAGTCTTTTATTTCCTCTGAGATAAGAGATCATATTTTGATAAGTGAGTTGAGGGAAAGAAGGTTCATTTTCATGGTGTGATGCTGTAGGATCAGCAATGGACTGCTAACCACAAGGTTGGTAATTCAAACCTCCCGGTCGCTCCTTGGAAACCCTATACAGGGTAGCTCTGAGTCAGAACCGAACCAGTGGCACTTTAACAACAACAACAACCTGAGACAAGCAATCCACATAGCCTTTCCCATAGTCATTGAGTAAATAACGCAGATCAGAGAATTTCCATGAACGCAGTGCTTTCATTTATTTGACCTCATAATTTCACGTGTAGAAGGTTGTTCTCAGGGAATAGTCAGGTTTAGAGACAAAGATCAGTGGGCAGGGAAGTTCCTTATGGCTTTATTTATAGTAGTAGAATTTGTAAGCCACTTAAATGCTAAGTCAGTAAATCATGAAGAGTACTGAACAATGTAAAAATGTTCACGATACACTATTTAGTGGAAACAAGCAGGACATACATCTGTAGATACTTTAAACCCAGTCTTGTTTGTTTCTATTTGCGTATGAAATAAACATATTTATATTTATGTCTGTTTCACTGATATTTATTTCTGTAAGCTTTTTTGTGTTTTAGAAAGTTTTCAACAAGGACTATGTATCAGTTTTTACAGTAAGTGATAGTTTAGTAACCAAGACCTTCGACTTTGCAGCTCAAGGTGAAATAATGAAGGAAGATGGTGAGGGAAACCTGGGAAATCAAGACAGCTTGGCACAACCTGAATCAAACTCCAGTAGCTCAGAATGCCACTGGGAAGAAAGCAGTGAAGTTATCCCAACTTTCTTTAGTACCATGAATACCAGGTATTGTGTACCTTCTAAAACCATTGACAGTTGAAGACTAGCTTCCCTTCTGGAAACTCAGCCCTGGCCTACTCTAAGAGAATACAGTCTGTTGGGTATCTGTGTTACTCCTTACTACAACAGTGAATGAGAAAGAATTGGATCATGAGGGTACACGCTGAGCAAATTTTTGCTTGTTTGGGGGAATTATCTTTGGAAACTGATTTTATTAGACTTAATGATAATGGAAAACAACAGTCACTGGGCTTATCTGTGAAATCAGGCCAAGTGATTTTCCATATGGAAGGGTAGCTGTTCCCATGACTACTTCTGATTACTGGTTTTGTATTTTCAATCTTCCACCTTCTGATTTACCACATTGTTTAGCTTTAGTGACATTGAACTTCTGGAAGACAGTGGCATTCCCACAGAAGCATTCTTGGCATCGTGTTATGCTGTGGTTCCAGTATTAGGTAAGATGGCTGCCTTTCAACATTTGCCTGCAATTGTGTTTCAGGAGAAATATCCTGAACTTGTGTGCAGTGAGATGATCTTCTTAACTACCTCTTTGTATCACCGGCCTCATCCAGTTAAAACTAGATGACCTTCAGCATCATTGCATGTTTCCATTTCATTTCAAATTATGATTAAATACTGACCTCAAGAGTAGTATAATGAAAAGTGGAGATTTTCATTTAGAGGCAAGAGTGAAAGTAGTTGAGAAATAGACTGCATATTGCTGTTGCGTAGTTTTGAGTTGATTTCAACTCATAGCGATCCTATAAATTTATTTCAAGTTTAAGCTTTATTATAAAGTCAGTAGTACCAAGGATTATTACTGTATTGAAGTTTGCTATAAGGCCCATTGAACTGTGCATCTTTTTCTTTTAATTGAGGTATAACTTGCATACAGTGAATAGGTAGAACTTAAATTATGATTATATGAGTTTTGACAAATGCACCTAGCTATGTAGTCCATATCCTTGTCAAGACATTCCCATTACCCCAAGAGTATCACCCAACCAGAGAAAACCATTTTTTTCTGTTTTCTCAGATAAATAAAATGAAAATTTTCTCAGATAAATAAAACCAAAATTTGGTTTTATTTGTTCTGAAAATTACATAAATGGAACCATGTAATATGTCCTCTTCTATGTCTGGCTTTTCTCTCTCAGTGTGTTTTTGAGATTCATCTGTATAGCAGTTGATAATTCCTTTTTGTTGCTGAGTTGTATTTTATCGAATGCATGCACCACAACTTGTTGGCTCCTTGCCGTATTAATGGACATTTGCATGTAGTACCCACAGTTAGTTAAACAGCAAAGTCTGAGGGTACAGTCCCCAAGACTGTGCTCACTTTTGATACCAATTACAAATTCAAGGGATTTCCCAAACCACTTTCAGGTTTAGTTATTCACTGGAAGGACTTGGAGAACTCACTGAAAACTGTTATGCAGGTAAAACAGGAAATTATACAAGTGAAACAAAACGATCCACCAAAGGAAGAGACACTTAGAAGAAATCTGGGAAGGTTCCAAATGAGAAGTGTCCAGAATCCTCAGGACAGTTACTCTGTCCCACGTCTGTCTGTGAAAGAGAGCTGCAGAGTGACCACCTCTGGGAAGCTCATCCAGACTTTCCTGTTGAGAGTTTTTATTGGGGCTTTATTACATGGACATGGCGTAGGACTGTTCTGCGTAAGGTCAGTCAGAATTGGCTAGCTAGCTACAGACGTAGTCATCATTGATGATGGTTTACCTTTGCGATAGAACTCAGTCTCCTGCACCCCCAGGCCAGAGGTTGAGCTAATACCGCATGGTCTGAGGAGCCCACCATAAGTCCCCTTATTAGCACAAGAGATTTGTTCTGAGGAACCCACCATGAGCAGCGATATTTCTGTCACTCCGTTACCTCCTTGGAGCTGAGGACAAAGATCAGACTTCTCTTTGGGCAAGGCCAAATTCTTTATTATTCAAATCGTTTCTATATGGGGCTAATATAAATAAAACTTCTGTGAACATTTTGTATACATTTGTGGGAATATATTTTCATTTCTCTGGAGTAAATACTTAGTGAATTACTGATTCGTAGGGTAGATAAATGCTTCGCTTTATAAGAAGCTGGCAAACCGTTTTACAGAGTGGTTTCCCAATGGCACCAGCAAAGTATAAATGTTCTAGTTGCTTCACATCTTTCCCAGCATTCCGTGGTGTCAGTATCTCATTGTGGTGCCTAATTTGCATTTTCCCTGATGAGTAGTGGTATGGAACAGTGACTACTGGTCACTGCTTTATCTTCCTTTATGAAGAATGTGTTCATATCTTTGAACTGTTTTTTAAAGTTGGTTGGCTGTCTTTTTATGAATGAGTTGTAAGAGTTGTTTATATATTCTGAATAAAATTCCGTTTTAGATAGATGCATTGTAAATCTTTTCTCCTTGGCTGTGGCTTGCCTGTTTCTTTTCTTATTAATGTCTTTTGCCGAGCAGACATTTCTAATTTTAATGAAGTCCAGTTCCGGTGTACCTATTGTCTTGCTTCTGTAGTTAGCGTTTTCAGTGCCATAAGAAATCTTTGCCTACACCAAGGGAAGATATTCTCCTGTGTTTTCCTCTAGTTTGTGTCTTTAGTTTTAAGTTTGTGTCTGTAATCCAACTTAAAATTCATTTTCGTATGTGTGAGGGAGGGTTTTCCTAATGACAGTATCTGGTGGTTCAAGAATTGTGTGCTGTGAAGACACTCTTCCCTTTTACATTGTTTTGGCGACTTTGTTCAAAGCAGGCCATCTTTTTTTTTAAGTGTGGGTCTATTTCTGGACTTTCACTTATTTTAATAATCTGCTTGCCTTTCCTTTTGCCAATACTACAGTGGCTTAATTACTTTGCCTTTATAATTAGACTTGAGATCAGATAATGTAGGTCTTCCCGGTTTTGTCCTTCTTTTTCAAGATTACTTTGGCATTTCTAAGTTCTCTGCATGTCTACATAAATTTTAGCTTTTCAATATCTGTTAAAGAGGCAGCAGGGACTTTGATTAAGATTGCCCTGCATATAAACCTTTGTTGTTGTTGTTGTTGTTAAGTGCCATTGAGTTGGTTCTGACCCATAGCGACCCTGTATTGGGTTTCCAAGGAGCAGCTGGTGAGCTTGAACCTTGCAGTTCAAACGGCTTTGCAGTCTGGCTCATTAACCCACAGCACCACAGCATCCTAAACCACACTGAGTATTTAGATTCATGAATCTATTGTTATTTTATCTCTTCCTTTATTTGTTTTGTTGAATCCGTTTTGAGCCAAAGCAACCCTGTATAGGGTTTCCAAAGAGCAGCTGGTGAGCTTGAACCTCAGACCTTGTGGTTCAAACTGACTTTGTAGTCCAGCGCATTAACCCGCAGCACCACACCGGGTTCCTTTATTTAGGTTGCCTTTATCTGCTCTCAACCATGCTTTGCATAGTTTCTAGTATTTAAAGGTCTTACTTGTCTTTTGTTTGGAGTTAGTTTTAGACTTTTGTAGGTTTTGAAGCTATAATAAAAAGTGCTTTATTTTGGTTTTCATTTATTCATTGATACCATATAGATGTTATTGATTTCTTAAATATCCTAACTTTATAAAATGCCATCTCTATATTTATTATGATGATTATATGCTTTTGCTGTATTTTGGTTATGTAGCAGATTACATTGTTTGGGTGAATTTGAATCTACCTTCTTGATATTTGTTTTCTGTTTTTCACGTCTGTTCTTTATTCCTTTTTATCATTATTACTCTTTCCTGATTTCTAACACCTTGAGTGTTCTCTTTAAGTTCCTCTTCTGTCATTTTAGCTATATATCTTTGTTCTTGCCTTTGTCTTAATTTTTAGGGGTAGATCTTACCCTAGAAAAATTACCTAAGGCACCCTTGAAATTTTATATTTTTATATTGGTGGGGGGTGGTTGTGTGTCGTCGAGTCCGGTCCCATTCATTATGACCCTGTGTAGGGTTTCCAATGCTGTCAATCTTTGCAGCATCAGAAATCCCACGGAGCTACTGGTAGATTCAAACTGCTGACCTGCAGTTAGCAACACAGCTTGTAACCCACAACTGTACCAGGGCTCATTAAAATAGCAAAGCTGGTGCTGTTAAGTGCCATTGAGTCAATTCCGACTCATAGTGACCTTGTATAGGGTTTCCGAGGAGCGATTGGTGAGTTTGAACTGCCAGCCTTGTAGTTCAAACCAATCTTGTGGTCCAGTGCTTATCCTACAGTGCCACACTGGACTCCAAAATAGCAAAGTACATCACATAAAATTAGTTTTAATGGTTTATTTTACTTAACCTAATGTACCCAAAATACTCTAAGCTTATAAGATGCCTTTTTATCTCCCCTGCCATTTCTGACCTCATAGTTCCTCAGAGCAGTATGATAGAAAACGGCCAGGACAGATCCTGGGAGCCTTTTAAACTGATGTTTAGAAAATGGTTTGGAAGCAAAATTGACAGTAATTGAGGAGGAGATCTGCTAGATTCATTACTACTGTAAAAGAACGTTTCCTTCCAGTTGAAAAAAAAATAATTGTTTACCCAAAGATATTTTTAATCCTTTTTTCTAGACAAACTTGGCCCTACAGTGTTTGCTCCCGTTAAAATGGATCTTGTTGGCAATATTAAGGTGAGTAAACTGGTTTGTCTCTGGAAATTTTTAAATAAAGGGAAAAAAGTTTGTGTGTGTGTGTGTGTTTAACTTTTACATTTGCCAGGAATAAATGTATGAAAGCTCTTGAGAGGAGCAGACATCTTACCATACTTTGAATCCTCAATAAAGGAATTGGTCATTAGACCCTATTGTATGCCCAAGGCAAGTTCTTTTGGAGGTAGAGTGTTCATTTTAAACACAAGAATAGGGTTTCCTTTTCATGTCCCAGAGCATGAAGCCGTGGAATTGTACTCTTCTGTCAGTACCGATTCTGTGCTTTTTTAGGTTTAACCAATGATAAATCACCTTTTGTTAATGAGTGTAGATAGTGAAATAGACATGTGGGGTTTTGGACTTGGAAGACCATCATTTTAGGTGCGGCTGTGGAACTGTCAGGAACACATTGATTCACTGAGCCCATTTCTTCTCCTGTAAACTGAGGGAGCTGTAGGTGTACCTTCTATTAAAGTCTGTGTCCCATTGTAAGTGTAGACTGAAAATTACCTTCCTGAGAATTTAGTAGCCGGTGAAAATCTTTCATCTTTGTCAACAGACACTATTGTTTAAGGAAACAGTTTAAGGAGTTTGCTTTTCTTTGGAAACTGTATACTTGAATGGATAATGGCACAAAATCTTATTCAACATGAGAAGTAAGAACAGTTCTGAGGCATAAAAAATAAAAAACAAACAATGCTTTGAAATCCTAAGAGATGAACTTTATTTAATTCTTGTTTAAACCTCATTAGGTGACTCAGACAAACCCATGTTACTTAGAAACGTAAGGGAAAAGGTAACAGAGACTTCATTCATTTATTTTTATTTCTTAGAACCCTGCTCACCTGCTCTATAAAGCTCAGTACTATCTTGATGAGCTTGGTAGGGCTACGGTTTCTAACTTGCATTCGTTGCCTGCTTTTCCTTCAGAAAGTAAATCAGAAGTATATAACCAACAAGGAGGAGTTTACCACCCTCCAGAAGATCGTGTTACATGAAGTGGAAGCCAATGTGGCCCAGATTCGGAACTCAGCCACCGAAGCCCTCCTGTGGCTGAAGAGGTAAAGTAGCTGGGGTGGGGCAGCCGCAGTTCACATTCCCGTCAGCTGAACTGTCCCCAGATAAAAGACTTCTCAGTGAAGAGCTCGCCTCCTCACACAGCCCTTCCTCCGAGGCCTAATGAGCATGAGGAGTCTTCAGAAGTCTGTGGGAAAATACAACGGAAGGGTAATGGAATTTTCCCATGAACTTTAGGAAGCACCCTCATATGGTCACAACTTTTATTTCCCCCTTGATGATGATCAATATTATTAATTAGCCACCACTGCCTAGTCAGTTCCGACTCATAATGACCCCGTAGGACAGAGTCGAACTGGCCCATGGGGTTCCCAAGGCTGTCGTCTTTATGGAAGCAGACTGCCACATATTTCCTCCTCGGAGTGGCTGCTGGGTTCAAACTGCTGACGTTATGGTTAGCAGCTGAGTGCTTTAGCCACAGCACCACCAGGGCTTCCATGACTAAACAGGCTTCTAGTACTAGTATAGGGAGTGCTGTTGGCATGGTGTTCAAAGTGTAGAATGTCAGCAGTTGGACTCTTCCAGCTGAGGGAGAAAGAGGTAGCTGTCTGTTTCCTTCAAGATGACAGCCCTGAAAACCGTCCGGGACCCTTCTGTGCTATTTTATAGGGTCACTATGAATTAGTTGGAATCTACTTGATGGATCTTAATAGAATATTTATGGAATCTTAAAAGACACAAAGTGAAGCCGTTTTTCTTGAAGTCAGTATTTTGCAAACTGCAGTGGAGAGCTTGCTAGAGCATGCTGGAGGTACATCCCCAGATTTTCTTCTTCAGCTGAGAATTTGCATTTCTTGAGTGAGAAACAGCTTTAAATTTATCAGATGGGATGAGTAGCTTAGAAAGGACTGTCATGTGACTTGACTTATTGGTTACAGTTTCCAAGGTATTACTGACATTTTGTTGTTGTTGTTGTTAAGTGCCGTGGAGTTGGTTCCGACCCGTAGCGACCCTGCACAGGGTTTCCGAGGCTGTAAATCTTTACAGGAGCAGAAAGCCTCATCTTTCTCCTGCAGAACAGCTGGTAGTTTCGAACTGCTGATCTTGAGGTTAGCAGCCCAATTTGTAACCACTACGCTACCAGACTACTGACATAGAAGCTGGATAAGGGGGTAATACGGAGCCCCAGTGGCATCATGGGTTTAGCATTGGACTACTAACTTGAAAGGTCAGCAGTTCAAAGTCACAAGCTACTCCAAGGAAAGAAGATGAGGCAGTCAGCTTCCGTAAAGATTTACATCCTCAGAAACCCTATGAAACAGCGGTGGAATAACTGGCCCACAAGGTCGGTTTGAACCACAAGGTCAGCGGTTCAAACTCACCAGCCACTGCTTGGAAACCATGTACACGGTGGCTATGAGTCGAAACCAACTGGGGACAGCACTTAACAACAACAAACAACAGCATCAATAAGGTTACTGGAGTCCTGGTGTGACGCCATAGGATAAGCACTCAACCACTAGGTCGGTTTGAACTGCAAGGTCAGTGCTTCAAACTCACCAGCTGCTCCTTAGAAACCCTATGCCAGGCCACTATGAGTCAGAACCAATTCAATGGCAGTGAGTTTGGTTTGACTTCCCTACCATTTCTTTAGCCCATTCAACGTTACTGAACAGTTACAGCAATATTTCTTCTTCTCTTTTCTTTTAGAGGTCTCAAATTTTTGAAAGGATTTTTGACGGAAGTAAAAAATGGTGAAAAGGATCTCCAGACAGCCCTGAGTAAGTGTGCATTACAGCTCTACAGCTCGACTGAGGAATGGAATAGGATGTAGAGGGAGACCCCTGCAGGCCAAGACAAGAGGAAGAGAACCTTTCTGCTTCTCAGCATCTGATTTGCTTTCTTTTCTTAGTCCATTATTACTAATTGTTTACTTCCTAAGTGCTTTGGTAAAATAGCACCCATGAGACAGTGAGCTGGTAATTTAAATCTAACTTATTATAAAGATCAGAGTATCTTTTAAAATAGGGTTAAATTAATGGAGAGCCTTGCCTTAATCTGGTATTAAGAGCCTGTTGTTGGTGTTAAGTGCTGCAGAGCCACCAGCCACTCAGAGGGAGGAAGATACAGCATCTGCTTCCTTAAAGAGAACAGTCCTGAAAACCCAATGGGACACTTCTGTGCTATCCTATAAGGTCGCTATGAATTAGTTGGAATCTACTTGATGGGTCTTTAGATTCATATCGACCCTGTATAGTGTTTCCCAGGAACCGCTGGTGGGTTTGAATTACTAGCCTTGTGATTAGCAGTCCAGTGATTATCCTATAGCGCCATACGAGAACTCCATTAAGAAGTTGTTGTGGTTGGTGTTGTTAAGTGTTGTCAAGTCGGTTTCTATTCATGTTGTTGTTGTTAAGTGCCATCAAGTCAGTTCTGACCCATAGTGACCCTGTATAGGGTTTCCGGGAAGTGGCTGGTGAGCTTAAACTGCTGACATTGCAATTCAACCCAATTTTTGCAGGTCAGTACATTAACCCACAGTGCCACACCAGGACTCCGTCCTACTCAGTGATCCTGTACAGGGTTGCCAAGGAGCAGCTGGTGGGTTTGAACTATGTACCTTGTGGTTTGCAGTCCAGTGCTGATCATACAGCACCACACCAAGAATCCCTATTAAGAGTTTGTTGTTGTTGTTGTTAAGTGCCGTCGAGTCTGTTCTGACCCATAGTGACCCTAGATGGGGTTTCCAAGGAGTGGCTGGTGAGCTTGAACCGTCGACCTTGCAATTCAAACGACTTTGCAGTCTGGCGCATTAACCCACAGCACCACACCAGGACTCCATTAAGAGTTTAGTGCTTCCTAAGAACTAAGAGATTAAGATTAGTCATATGCAACGTTCTCAGTTGCCTTATATGCCTCATTTTGTAGTGGTAAAATCGTGACTGGGAGGCAGGCCTTAGATCAGAAAGAGATCTCCTATCTCCAGCATCTTAACACAGTGATTAAACATTGTGCTGCCTCGTAAGCATGTGTGTGTGTGTGGAAGCATTCTCACAGTGCTCCCGTCAGAGCGCCTGGACTCTCACCCTTGACCTAGAGGAAATTCCTCCAGCATGAGCCTGGAAGCTTGTGTCCTGGTCAGATTCTAAGTAGCCATGGTTAGAATGGGTGAAATGGTCTGTTAGAGATGGGGAGCCAGTGTTTACGGAGGAGTTCCTACTTTCTTTTCTTGGTCCTCCCTGTGGGTCACAGGTCCTAGAGCTGACTTTTCTATAGCACCTTATGAATAACTCAGACAAATGCGTCCTCTCATCAGTTCATTTAGAGACTTGGGAACTGAAATTCTAACAGATGAAAATGCTTGCTGAAGGACATCCACAGACATATATAGGCTCACTTCAGATCCCCTGCCTCCAAGATCCACACTCAGTTCTCCCACAGAGCATATTCTTCACTGTCCCTGGGCAAACTGCAATTTGGGGTCCTCCAACCCACTGCCTTTGAGTCAATTCCAACTCATGGAGACTCTACAGGACAGAGTAAACCTTTTCCATAGGGTTTCCAAAGCTATAAATATTTAAGGGAGAAGACAACCTCATCGTTTGCCCTTGTAGTGGCTGGTGGATTTGAACCACTGACCTTGCAGCTAGCAACCCAACACGTAACCTACTGCACCACCAGGACTCCTTTGGGGTCCCCGTTTGTCCCTGAATTTCCAGGGCAGTGTCGGTTATCTTATAGCACTCCTTTATGTGTCCCAATTCAAGTACTGAAAATACATTAACTGTATGTGGCACTGTGGAGTCCTGGTGCGGCACTGAGGGCTAATGCGCTGGACTGTAAAGTCACTTAGTGCAAGCTCATCAGCTGCTTCTTTGAAACCCTATACAGGGTCACTATGGATCGGAACCGACTCGGCAGCACTTCCCAACAACAACAACATGTGGCACTATAGGATCAGCACTGGACTGCAAACCACAAGGTTAGCAGTTCAAATCCACCAGCTGTTCCTTTTGAAAACCCAATACAGGGTTGCTATTAGAACTGACTCAATGGCACTTAACAACAACAACCAGTACCTGTAGGATAAGCACAAGGTCAGTGGTTCAAACCTACCAATGTGAAGGATGAGACTTCATCCTTCTCCTGCATCACATGCTCCTGCAAAGAAACCCCATACATATAGGACCACCAAAAGTTGACCTCAACTCAATCGTAGTGGGATTGGTTTTGAAGCGATTGGCAAATATAATCAGGAATAAAAGTGCTGGAAATCAGTCAGCCATCAGCATCAGCCACTTTTATGATAATTGGTTAACATTGTACTTTTTGAAAGAAAAAATTTGTAATCTAAGATCAGCAAGACCATTTGTAGTGATAAATTAAGGTTAAACTTTGGAAAGGTTTTATGGTAAACGTTTATAAATTTGTACAGTCTTAGTGGTGTTGGAGGTGGGAGTGGATATGTAAAGGTTCCAAATGATCCAGTAGAAACTTGGATATTTATCACTTCTTTGGCAAAGTCCCCTGTAATCATTGTTTTGCTGCAGTTCTGTGACCTGGAACCATTTGCAGCTTCTGGTATACTGCCTCTCCTTGTACTTCATCCATCACTTTGATTCCTCATAAGGATGCTCAGAATGTACTATTTTGAGTGGTCTCACAGTAAGAGCTGCTCTGCACCCTTAGTGTCCTGTGACGTTTTACTGGTCATTCTAAGGAAAGAGGTCAAAGGCCCATATAGTTAATGGTTCACCCTAGCTACGAACCTCTCCCTTCACCGATTTCACATCAAAAGCGCTTTTAGAGAACATATGTGTAAGCGGAAGGGAGAAGAGTCCTCTAGCATTTCACGTACCATTGTGTTAAATGTTACATGCTCCGTGCTTCTCCCTAGCAGGGGCGCATATTGCTGCATCCCTCACCTCGGATTGATTCCATAAATGTCAGGTCACCATTAACCTGGCCAAGATCCCTGGCACAGGAAAGAAAAAATGAAAAAGGATGTTCTGGCATGTATTTCATGCGAAAGGCTTTCGCAGGCAGGAGAACTCTGTGAGAGGAATAAAGACAGAACTCATCACAAGAAATTTAGCATCAAATTTTATAACTGGACTCATTTATTTCAGAAATACTGTGGGATTTAAGTCCTGCTCATGCCAGGACTTACAGTGTGTGCTTCCATAGTAGAATTGGCATACAGTATAAGTTTTTACTCTTGATGCTACGTGAAATTAACAGAGGTGATCTCCGGGCTCTTGTTTCAGTTGTGTTCACTGGTTAGTCCACTGGCTTTTCTCCATACAGTTCATTTTCCCCGAAGCATGGTCACTGTAAATAATCCAGAGGGCACTAGCTCAGTTTTGTTTTTTGTAAACATTGTTGACATCAACAGATAGCCACCATTTGGCCAAATATAGATAAATACGTCCAGTGTAGATGAAGTGTTCCATGTACCACTCCCTGATCCCATTATCCTCTTTGTTTTCCAGAGAAAATCACCACCCTAAATTTGTTACGTATCACTATGTAATGTATGTTTTATACTTTGACAGAGTCCTGGTGTGGTGCTGTAGGATAAGCACTGGACCGCAAGGTCAGTTTGAACTGTAACGTTGGAGGTTCAAACTACCAGCCACTCCTTAGAAACCCCACATGGGGTTGCTCTGAGTTGGAACTGACTCAATGGCACTTAACAACAACAACAATCTTTGTAGATGCAGATCACCAGGACTTTCTTTTGTGGTGCCCCTGGGTGGGTTCAGACTGCCATTCTTTAAGTTGATCATTGAGTGCAAACTTTGTACCTTTAAGCTCTTACAAATGGTGTCACATTGGGCACATTCTTTTTTCAGTGCAGTGTTGTTTTTCGGATTTATCCAGTGTTGACATTAATTTTCCCAGCTGTTTAGCATTCTATTGTGTGGGTAGACCATCGTTTTTAAGATCTAACGTACTGTAGACGGACACTTCAGTTGGTTCCCAATTTTCACTGTTAACAAGCAAAACTACTGTGCACATGTCCCTTGTCCACAAGTCCTCTGTCATATAGGAAATGGTAATATCTGAACAATATACCTGTCATTCATCCACTGGGCTCACTAGTTAGGAAACTGTGCTACGGCAGTGGCTCTCAAACACTGGTCTGTATCTGATTACCTGGAAGGCTTCTTGAGACAGATTGCTCTGTGGGTTTGAGGTAGGATTCAAGAATTTGAATTTCTAACAGGTACCTAGGTGATGCTGAGACTTGGTCTGGGGACTACCCTTTGAGAGCCATTGCTCTAATATATAATAGAATTGAAATGGCAGAGTCATATAGGAACCCTATAGGTGGCACAATGGTTAAGCACTCAGCTGCTAACCCCAAGGTTGACGGTTCAAATCCAGCCCAAAGCTCCATGGGAGAAAGACCTGGTGATCTGCTCCTGTAAAGATTACAGCCTAGGAAACCCTGAGAGCTGTTCTACCCTGTCATATGGAGCTGCTCCACCCTGTCACATGGAGCTGTTGTACCTGTTACAAAACTTCTACCTTTATAATTGTGACAGTTGATGATCCCCATCTTTTCACCAGACCCGTCTAGACAAGATGAAAACTATTCAGTGGAGATTCTACTTTCCCCCACACACTCTGAAACTAAACTCCCTCTTGAAAACTTGTAAGCCAGTCACTTCTTGCCTTTATTGCCCCCTTATTTTACATAGCCATTGTCTAAATTGTCTGTTCCTAAGGAGCTCTGGTAGCGTAGTGGTTACGAATCGGGCTGCGAACCTTAAGG